AGTTAGAAAAACAATGTCCTCACCTCCTGAGTAGCGGCGCTCGGGACGATACTTTCCTTCAGAGCTTCTTCTTGAGGCTCTTCTTTCTTTGCCTCTTCTTTGAGTTCCTCCTCCGCCTCTAAAGTCTTTTCTAAATACAAAGAACGCAACGAAAATCCAACCCTCTTTTAATCAGACCCACAAACAGTGCCAGCTATTCCAGGGAAGCAGAGTGCACTAACCTGCTTGATGAGCAGTTGACTCGTGCTCTTAGTGGATTGTGCACGAGCTACTCTGTCACCGGAAGAACGCTTTAAAATCTGGCAACTATTCATAAGGAACTACCGCGTGTTCGGGCATAGACTGCGGAAAAAAGGAGAGCTATCATTCTTTTGCTTTTGGAGGAACAAACATTTATGTGTTAAGGAAACTTACCGTGCAGATCGAGGATCGTCACTAGCCTTCCATAAAGCTCCTTGCCTTTTGCTGATTTGAGTAAGGGGCGAAGTCGATTGATTAGCAAGTCAAAGTTCGCCTCTAGACTGACTTCTTCTGGTCCGTGTTCAGGTTTGTGGGTTTTTGCCTTTGCTTCCTCATGCTTGCTGATTCCTTCTTCCCCATGCTTAGGTTCGTGTGGCTTCGCCTTCTCGTGCTCGCTTATCCCTTCTACATTATGACCAGGTTCGTGTGCCTTTTCCTCGTGTTTGGCGGTTTCTTCTGCCTTATGGCCAGGCTTGTGTGCCTTTGCCTCCTCGTGTTCGCTGATTCCTTCTTCCTCATGGCCAGGTTCATGCGGCTTCGCCTTCTCATGTGCACTGATAGTTTTGCTTCCATGGCCAGGCTCTTTTAAGGTTGTTTCGTGCTCGCCTTTCTCTTTTTGAGAGGCTGTTTCGGAGCTTCCTCCTACGCCTTCTGCATGGCTTTTGCTGGACGCCCCAGCATCTGTGTGAGAAGCATGTTCCCCAGCACTTGTTTGGCTCCCTTCTTCCTCTTCTGGCAAGGCCTTGGACTCTTCTGTAGCCTTTGTACCGGCTTCCTTCTTAGATGCTGTTGTGGTTTCGTGACCTCCCCCATGGGCTCCACCTGCATGTGGGACCGCTTGAGAGGGTTCTTTATGCGTCCCGTGATGAGAATCCCCTGCAGATGTTGAGGATTCCCCTAGTTCTTCGGACTCACTTGACTCGGATTTTTCAGTGTCTGACTGATGTTGCAGGAAAGATTCTAGAGGCACCTGCAGGCTTGCAAAGTGCTCGGTGGCTCCGGCATCCCCGTGGAGCTCGGCGTCGTCTTGCTGGAGGACACCATGAAGACGAATTAGGCGTCTTCCGAAGCGAGGAAGGGCTGATAAATGTGGGTTTGCATTCTGATCGGGGGAAAGTGAAGTGCCTTCGCCAACGGGGCGAGTCAGCGGCGGGGCCACTTCAAATGCGGATGCGACACCATAGTGTCCGCAGTAAGCAAGGCCGAAAAACGCCAATAGAATTGTGGAAATTGCTGTCATCTTTGTTTTCGGCTCTAAAGAAAGGGAGGGAGTCCTCGACAAGCGTCGAACATGAGACACTCCCCGCTGCGAGTTAGCTCATTGCGCGTCGGCGCATCCGCTCTTTTGGGCCTTCGGCTTCTACGAAGAAGTCGAGAGCTGTTTAATTGAAACAAGAATAATGGAAGAACTATTTTTCCGGAAGAAGTCTTCTGCACATTTGCACGTTTAGCCATTTCTCGTGAGAGTAGTCCCGCTGTCGTCCGCATGCTCGCGGGCTCCTCGGCGTCAAGGACCACTGTGGTCTGGTCTCTTTTCCTGCTCGACACGGCGGATTGTGTTTAATTGTTTCATATCTTTCCATTATTTTAGTCAAAAGTTTAGAATCAGCTGTTTTTTGTGGTGTCTACCAACAGCCTAGACATACGCGTATATGGTGGTCAAGCGTCTGGACCTTCGTTGATAGACCGACGGCGCCCGCCCACGGGAGCGGATATTCCGTCGATAGCTGAACCCGCTCAGACTCTAAAATCCAGCACATAGAAACTAAGTGACACTTCCTTCCTTAAAGAATGCTAATTTCAATAGTCGCCCGCTCGCCACTGCCACTGCAGCTCTCCAGCACGCCTCTGGAGCGTGGATAACATCAATTCGCACTGAGTAGCCCTGTGAGTGGAGGCAATTCAAACTGAAGGCCTAGGACCATAGTTAGAATAGGTTTCGTCCAGCAAGGACAGTAAAGCCAAGCAGCAACAGTATACTTCCTCCGGATGCGCTGGAAGTTCCCTTATCATGGCTCGGCTGCTAGTTATTACAATACTACAGTAGGGTAAAAAGCAAGACCGGGAGAGAAGGCAACTTGCCAGCACACTGCACAACGAGTCAATATGTTGTCCCTGAGCTGATTCATCAGGATGACGAGAAAAATCATTGCACTTAGGCAATAAGTTACGCATAGCGCCTTCTGTTATATCCAAACTAAAAAACAAGTAGCCACTTTGTTTCGTAGATCTTTATTACTAAGGCGTGTGGACAAGCGCAATTCCACTGCCACTGCCTCATTCACTCCCGCACACTTATGCGGTTTCTGGTTTTGCATGCCGCTTGCAAGTCCCCTCTTCCTTTGCATCTTCCTATTTAATGCACCGTGCAAGTTAATCCTCTTCCCTGTATGGAATATCTCGTTCCAGTGTAGCATTAATGCTGCTTTCTCCTCTCTCCTTACTCTCTGGGGACGTGATAGGAGCACTATCAGCAGGTTGACTTGGCGGGGTGCCTGCCCAGTGACCTCCTTCTTCGCTTTTTACTTCATCACGCCTTGAGACGCTCTCTGAAGACGAGCTTCTTCTCGGAAATTCGAGATGTCGGATCCGCGCGTCGGGCGTCCGCGTGCCTGTGCAACATGTGAGGCGCTCAGTGCGGGCACTGCTGCGTTCAGATGACGAAGCTGCCCTTGCGCAAGCGCCACTCGTCGTCGATGAATTATGGTAGTATTGGCTCTGAAGGATTGTCTGGCGTAGAGATAACTTGCACTGTTCTCCCTGAACCTCAAGTTTGTTCCCCAGTTTCATCATCCCCATCATGCGCTCCAGTAACAAAGCAGCGCTGTCTCGAGTTTCCGGTGAGCCACAGCGATAGCACTCNTCCCCATCATGCGCTCCAGTAACAAAGCAGCGCTGTCTCGAGTTTCCGGTGAGCCACAGCGATAGCACTCCGTGCTTCGCTGTTCGTTGTCTCCGACAGTGCATGCTTGGCCCTTCTCTGTACCGTCTTCGGATTGGGTCGCGCAACTTGCCGTCGCTGCCTGCACGTCTGATGAAGAACAGGTAACGTCGACGGGGCTTCCCCGTGATATATCCGCAGCCGCCTCCACTGCAGTGGAAACAGCTCGCGTCACGACAGTGTGCAACCCCTGGTTACAGTCCGAATGCAAGCAGGAACGCGAGTGGACAGACCGACAGTCCTCTTCCCCCACCGCGTGCCTCTTGATATATACGGCATCGCAGCTATCGGCAACAGAATTCACGGAAGCATCGGCTGTGCTGGCATATGGCAACTCGGGGCCAGCCCTGACACTTCGCATTCTGTTGAGGCGTCCCACCATCGACGGGTGACTCGTTGAGCAAAGCAGCGAAGGACCTGAAAAAGCAAGAACGAACGCAGACAGCTCTGCATTTATTAAGCTACTCTGACTCCATCAACACCCATCTAAAACAGAAGGTTTGACCAAAGTGCCTAATTACCGTCGGGATGTTGAAGGGTTTCCCGGAAAGCCTCCACAGCTGCCACGGTGGCGCGGCCACACGCTTCATCCCGCGCCCAGGTGTCTACTGCTTCCCTCACTCCTGGTGAAACTGTGTGACCGTTAAGCTGACGAATAGTTGTGCAGCAAATCAACGCAAACCCTTCAGCCTGAGAAACACAGCAGCTCAGCACTAGACAGTCATCAGTTAAAGGGCATGGCTGTCGAGTAAGCGACAGGGCCCAAGGAAGTGTGCGAAACAAACTTACAACGTTGCCGAAATTGCATATGGGGTTTTGCCTTAAGTCCAAGACCTCGAGGGATTTGAATGTGCTCAAAGCAGCAAGACCTTTGAAATCGCTGAGCCGCAACAACGACAAGACCACGGGTACACTCAGCTCCATCCTAGGTCCATCAACTCTCTCTCAATTGCATTGTTACTACCGTCTATTCGTAAATTCTCTAGGTAGTGCTAGAAGAACAAGCTCAGGAAGAAACGGAGTAAAGCAAAGCCAAGCATTCCTCGTGCTTTCCTAACTTCATGCACCTATATCACCTGTTCTTACCTTATTTGGTTCCTAGCCAAATTTAGCTCGCGAAGTGTGAAACGCAAAGGGGTATTGGATAGATTTCTGCGGGAAAAACAGCAACACCGCCACTGACAAATTGTTCAACGAGTGGCTGTTCACAGTTGGTAGAGTCGACGGTTGCCACACACGATTATGGCTGCGAATAGGTTGTATAATATATATATATTATAACAACGACCATTGTTGCAAATAATTCGTATAATATCATTTCCTCTAGGAATCGGAATACTTCCTCTTACATTATGCTTGTTAGCTGGTTACCGCTAAGGTCCAGCTGGCGAAGTCGAAAGTGGGAGCCAAAGTTTGTGATGGTGTTGATGCGGCAGTTGCTGGCCCGCAGCGTTTGTAGATGAGGAAAAGGTAACGAATGGCCATCTAGCAAGACTAGCAGGTTTCCATCCAAGTCAAGGTGGGTCAGGCATTCGAAATCTAGAGCCGCAACTTCGCCCAGGGAAAGCTCTATCTGAATGAATGCATACATTGCAGTATCCTTTGTATTCCTATGTGTGTGCTTGGGGCGTCACTCATGAACACTGCATTCTCTTCACAAACATGGCAGACTTTGTCTTTAAAGTCGCTGCTCACCTTTCTGATGTTGCTGCTGGAAAGATCTAAGGCTTTCCATTTCCGAGCGGAGTTACCGTCAGCAAGAAGCAAAGCTTTCAGCTTGGAAGCATTCAAGATAGGACCGACCGCAACTCCTCCTGCACTTTGTAGAAATGCCGCTGCAGAAGGAACGTTTCTATGAGCGAACAGCCGCGTCCTAGACGTAGACATTTCTGTGGTTTTGCAGGTGGTCCAGGGCATGGAAGGACGGACTAGCAGAGATGTTCTGCTGTTACACCTCCGTGCCGCTCTTGAAAATTACACAGTTTAAGCTGCTGGTAGCATTTCAAAAACAGGTTTTCAAAATTGACAAGGCGGTAAACAGAAGGTGAGAACGGTGGTTCGGTCGGGGCCGAACATGTCCTGTAGGACGCGGTGGCTTGTAAGGATTGTAAGCTTTTCCGTCACACCCCTGGAAAGAAATACATTGTAACTCGCAGTAATAGTATATTTAATGTTAATTATTGCAGAGACAAGAGATACAGACGCAGTTGCAACAAAGACTGCGGCCGCACGAAACAACCATCGTCAAAGGGCGGGCCAGAGCCAGAGGCTAAGGCCGCTTGTGTGGCTGCCCTCTTGCTCTGTGCCCTTGAAAGTGAATGAGTTAAATCAAACGTAAATTTAATTCATTTTAAATTAAATAAAATACACAGTTATGGATGCTTTGTATTTCAGCAGGATGTGAACGCCTCAGCTCTTAACTAGTCCCCAGAGCCTCTCCGCTACCGGTGACGTGAAAATTAATGTCTTATATCACACCTGCATTTCCCTAGACACCCCGCGGAAACACCAAATTCTTTTGTGTTGACACATGTTAAGAACACTGTGGGTCCACAGCTTGGGCTTCTGGCGATTACCCCTGTGTTCCTGCGGAATTTACAGTTGCAACCGTCTGTCAGCTCGGGTGATTTCTTTCTTTATCCATGTACTTGCTGGCTTTCATTGCCTTCAATCGCCAACGCATGTTGTGAACGCAAAGTCTGGCTTTCAACAGATGAGTCAAGCCAAGTTTGACTGCCCTCCCGAGTGTTTACCGACGAACTCACACAATTATGGATAGCACATGTTTTGTCTGGTATTCATGTTTATATGATGTGTGGTATATTTGATTCTATGCTGGAGGGCGTATTTTATTGTATGTTGTACTTCATGGTTGGTTAACTACATAGTATGTAGCTCCTGCACAGTTGGTTTCACGCTGAGCGTTGACGCAACGCGTTGGCGCCTCGGCAACGCAACATTTGCGGCATTTACGCTCTCGAAAAAGTAATAGAAAGTTGAAATGTTCAGGTTTACTATCGCCACAAAATTTCCCCACTTCCTTGTGGATCTATAGGCGTACGTGCAAACGGCTTTCGTGACTGGCATATAGTCGCAGCCCGGAGAGTTGCAGAGAGTTCCGCTTGCAAACAGCTGAAGCTACTATCTTCTTTCAGCTGATTGGGGGGAAGACTTCAAGCAACGAAGTTATACACTTCAAGCCAACTGCTTGGCCTTGGCGTGTCGAATTGCTTCTCTCTCAGTCATTTTGTGCATAACGTATCGTACACGGAAATGTAAAAACGAATAGAAACTCTTCCGCTACTCGGAAACTATAAATTGGGAAATGGAAACACGTGCAGCATTGCATACGAGGGGGATATCCTATACTGGGTGTTTTGCATCTTCTGTATATCTGTGTGTAAAATGTAGGGGCTGTTGTTGTGTTTACTATACATCTCTCTGTCGATAGTTTGTACATCTGCCAACAATGCAGCCATATGATTCCCCTTTGTATTTCAGTATTTAACAGCGATTAAATAAATATACTTTAATTGGTTTATAATGAATTATATAAATATAATTAAATAAACAAAGCAACAGAAAGTGAAAGATAACAGAAAAAATATAACACTGTATCCAAGGCCTTCTGTATAAATAAACGAAGATTCCTATGTCAGCTCGACTGTTCTTAGAAAACCGATGGATAGAGTTAACAACACAACTGGAGTTTGTGATAGAATCAACATGACAATNCTGTTCTTAGAAAACCGATGGATAGAGTTAACAACACAACTGGAGTTTGTGATAGAATCAACATGACAATGCAGGGAGAATAAATGCAGGGATTTCATGTTGCACAGTGTGCTCTACTCGACCTGCCTCCTACATAAGCTCTAGAAGCAAATCAGCACCATCTGAATCAGCTAATCTTACCCTGAAATTGCAAAGTAATGAAATTAATATTAATTAATTAATATTAATTAATAACTTCCGGTATAAACGCTCCGATTACTTCGGAGAAATGGCCGTTCGCACACTGCTTGCGTGCGCGCACAAATTGAGTTTCGCAAGGTAACTGCGTTCTGCAGTATACCTTAAAAAACTTGTGGAGCCTTAAAAACTGGCCGCTGTTCAAACTAACTGACTGTAACTGTTTTTGCGAGGCCCCTTGGCTTGTCAGGATTTATTCCCCTAGCAACGGAGAGCTCGTAAGCCAAGAGCTGTAGAGGGATCGCCGCGAGCAGTGCTGTGAGAGGTCCATTGCTTGGAATAACAATGTAATCATCTGCTACATCTTGTACAAGCTCCGGGTAGTCCGTTACACAGATTAGATAGGCTCCTCTAGCCTTCACCTGCTGCGCGGCGTTCAGCATTAGTGCTGCGTGCTGGTCACCAAGCACAATCATGATTACAGGGGTGTGTGCTTTGTCGTCGATCAAAGCAAAAGGGCCATGTTTCAACGCTCCCCCAGCAAACCCTTCTGCATGGATATATGAAATTTCCTTAATTTTCAGTGCACCTTCGAGAGCAACAGGATAACCAAAACCNCTTCTGCATGGATATATGAAATTTCCTTAATTTTCAGTGCACCTTCGAGAGCAACAGGATAACCAAAACCTTTGCCAAGCACGAACAGCGTCTGTGCATCTTTCAACTTCTCGGCGATGCGCTTGCAAGCCCCATGTGAATTCAATGTCATACCGGCATACACAGGAAGACGATGAAGAGCATCTAATAAAGCGTTGCAGCGATCCGGATACTCTTCGCTCCTCAGGTTCTGCCAGAACCAGCTAGACACCAGGGCAAGCACCGTCACCTGCACACAAGCAAACAAAGAAAGCCGGTCGTAGCAGCAGAACCTTAGTTTTTGACCCTGCACACCGCATGCTCGTACTGTGTTGCTACTTAAAAGCGTCGTCATTTACGATTGAAGACAGTTATGAGTGAGGAAAGGAATGGATGCAGCGGCGAGCTCTATATTCTCCTCTTTCATCCGTGCATTGACTTTTGACGCGCATGAATCGGCCAGAGGAAAAGAATTGCTATTTTCTAGATTGCAACTAGCAAGAGATCGAGGACATAGCGCACGACTTACTTGAGAAGTAAAGGCTTTGGTTGAGGCGACAGCAACTTCTCTGCCGGCATTCANCATAGCGCACGACTTACTTGAGAAGTAAAGGCTTTGGTTGAGGCGACAGCAACTTCTCTGCCGGCATTCAGATAAACACCACAGGAGGTCATGCGAGCGAGGAGAGAGCCTACTGAGTTAACGATAGAAAATTTCCTCACTGCATGTTCATCAGCTATCTGGCATGCTCGTATAGTATCTAATGTTTCCCCTGATTGCGAAAGCAATAGAATTCCAGCATCATGCTTGGGTAGAGAATGTTGTTCCAATTCTGTTGCATCTATAGCCCTCACTTGGTCGAAACATGCAAGCCATTGCATAAGTTGTTCACCATACATTCCAGCATATAATGAAGTTCCGCATCCTGCAAGTAGAAGATTGCGAATTGCTAGTAAATCTTTGTTCTGATCGAGACCACCTAACTTTACGCGGTTACCATGAGCCATGATGCGGCCCCCATAGTTCAGAGCCCTAGCTAGGCTCTGTGGCTGTTCAAATATTTCTTTAAGAGTCCAATGAGGGAATGGATCTGGTGATGTTTCAACTGTTTCGGCTGCAATGCGGTGCATATCACGTGATTCCAAGAGCTGATCAATCCCTTTGCTTGTTACAATCGCTATCTCTCCATCCTGAAGCATAAGATACTGGCTAGTATGTCTAGCAAGGGCTGCTGGCTCGGATGCTATAAATACCTGCCCGTCACTGCTACCAACAAGTAATGGTGAACCATTGCGAGCGAGCACGATACGGTCTGGGTAATCTTTGTGGATCACACAGAGGCCCCAGGTGCCCTGAAGCTGCGAAACACTCTCTGTTACAGCATCTTCAAATGATAGCCCGAGATCAAGTTTGTATCCAATGAGGTTTGCAATAACTTCTGAATCTGTTTCGGTCATAAATACACAACCCTTGGCTAATAGATCTTTCTTCAACTGTGCAAAATTATCGATGGTTCCATTGTGCACCAAAGATATGCGTTTTTTCCAGTCCATGTGAGGGTGCGCGTTCGTGTCTGTCTTCGCGCCATGTGTCGCCCAGCGTGTATGAGCAATGCCTATATGATGTCCGCCGTGATGAGTGGGGGCTTCTTTCTTCAGCAGCTGAATGCAGTCACTTGTTGAACCTCTGCTTGCAAATTTGGTTGTGATCAGCTGCCCATCCTCCCCTATAGTTGTCATGCCGCAACTATCATACCCCCTATTCTGAAGTATTTCAATCCCCTCCATCAACACTGGCTCCACGTTTCCCGTGCCAATGTAGCCTACAATGCCGCAACACCGAGCATCAGATTTCTCTCTAGAAACCATAAAAGTTGCATAGCCTGCTGCAGCCACAACGGCGCAAACCCCCATGAGAGACGAACCGTCATGCTTCAATCTGTAGGAATTTCGCTTAGATTCCCAACTTTGACTTGAAGGTGT